TCAGTCTCAAACAGCTTGTGAGCCACAAATACCAAAATGAGTGGCTAACTGCGCTAAAACGTTTAAATACATACAAAATTATGTCAAAATGCCCGTCTTGGTGAGTATCCAGTTAAACACAGTCAGTTTTGGAACGTTAAATAGTTAAATAGAAAGAGAACGCATGTTGTGTAACAGTATATTGGGTCCGTGGATAAACTCTTAAAGGGACCGCAGTCCAATATTCCTACTGCTGTCTGGCATGTTAATCAAAGACCAAAAGACAAAGAAAATCATTTTCTGCTCTTGACTGAATACAGTTTTATAACTTTAATGGTAAGCATTAATCTGTATTTAATTTTTACAATGAAGACTACAGAAATTAATGTAATCAAATGTAAAATAACACTGGATTTCTGTAGTATTTCTTACCTGAATAAAAACTTACTTACCCTGAAAACTTAGTTTCATAGCTCTCTTTATTCTATTGACTTTTTTCTTGTATTTTTTTAATGAAATCGGCAAAAATCGGAATTGGCAGATCACACTAACAAAAAATCGGAAATCGGAATCGGCCAAGAAAATTGCAATCGGTGCATCTCTAACTAGAACCGAATCAGAACGCAGATTTTGGTGCCTCATTTTGGTGCCACCAATGCTTGAGTGATCGATTGAAATATTTGTTCTCTGGTTCTCTGAAACGGACGTAAGGATCACTGGCACCGCACGTGAAAAATAATTTCCCAACTGAGAAAATTCACGAACGCAAGTCGGAAATCTCTAATAATACAAATCCAACACATCTTTTTAGTAACACGAGTGTCCATGTTGTTTTCACATTCCGACTTAAAAGCACAACTCGGGAAATGAGAGCATCCGAGGATCGCGTGAATGCAGCAATTACACTTTTGCTCTGATGGCAGCAGGTAGATACCATTCTATACTGTAAAAAGCATATGGTAAAAAGGCTATGTTGATTAGCAATGGATTATAAATATACTTAATTATGATGAAAATACCAAAGATGGCTTGAATAACACAGATAAACTATACATTGTCGCAGTCGAGTGTTTATTGTCTTTGTTTTATCATTCAAAACGTTTATATCTTCTGTTTACTCAGTTACAGCAATAGCAATGCCTTTGTCCATATTAGGGATTTCCTGAGTCCTTTTCCTTCTGTGAAACTCATGTGGAGTTTCTGCGCGAGGGCGCCCTCTGGGGTCCAGTATGAATGAAACAGACATTAAACGTGTTTATAGCGCTCAATAATGGCCAATCCATCCTATTTTGGGTAATTTTTTATTTATTTATTTTTTTTAAGTATCGGTTCAGGCATCCGGTATCAGGAAAAAACCAAACGATACCCAACCCTAACTGTGAGAAGCACGGAGATGAAGGAGCGAGGAGACGAGGAGTGGAATTCAAACATATAGATTTTAATCACATCCAGGGAACAAGGAAAACACACGTAGCAAGGGTAGACATACAATACCAGACGAAGAACTAAGAACCGGGAACACTTTAAATACACAAGACATGATGAGAAACACCTGGAACTAATGAAACATAATAACATGAGGGAAAACACAGCTGGAAACAAATGGGAAACAAGCAGGGAGCAGGAACAGGAAAACCAAATAAGGGCATGGAAACACATAGGGAGCAAAACACACACAAAACATGGAACAGAGTCTGACATTACTGCCCCCCTCCCGGAAGGCACGTCCCGCGCCATAACAATTCCACCAGGGAAGGGGGGTGGGCACCCTGGAGGCTGGTGCAGGACTGGGACCCGGGGAATACCTCCAGGGCGGATCAGGCAGTCCAGGGTGCCTTGGTGGCACAGGGAGCTCAGGGGCCATGGCGGAGCAGGGAGCTCTGGGAGCCATGGCGGAGCAGGCAGACTAGGAAGCCATGGCGGAGCAGGCAGTTCAGGAGGCCATGGCGGAACAGGGAGCTCGGGGAGCCATGGCGGAGCAGGGAGCACAGGGGGCCTGGCCTCGGCACTCAGCCCGGCCTCCACGGATGGACCCCTACTACCCCCCCCCCCCCCAAAAAAATCCTTGGGGAAATCTACGGGGCTGTATTCGGGGCCTGGAGCCCTCCCTGGGCCTAACA